ACAAAGCAAGTAAGAACCTTGACCGAAGTAAGACATATACCAGACTTGAAGAGAAACCTTATCTCGTTGAGCAGTTTGGATTCCATTGGGTGTGCGTACTCAGGTGGAGGTGGAGTTCTCAAAGTTACAAAAGGCAATCTCGTTGTGATGAAAGGAAGCAAGGTGAATCACTTGTATCATTTGCAGGGTAGCACAGTTATGGGTCCTTCGATTGGCACAAGCAATTCTGTTTCGATAATGATAGAACGAAATTGTGGCACATGCGTTTGGGCCACATGAGTGAGCGTGGTATGTCGGGCTTTGAGTAAACGTGGTTTGCTTTGTGGGGAGCGAGACGACCTCGCTAGATTTCTCGTGAGCATTGTGTTCTTGGCAAGCAATGCGAGTCGATTCGATAGGACGCATTCGACAAAGAGCACACTCGACTATATCCATTCGATTTATGGGGACCAAGACAGTTCCATCTAAGGGTGGAGCTCTTTACTTTGTGACGTTCATTGACGATTATTCCAGAAAGGTTTGGGTTTACTTTCTGAAAAGAAAAAGTGATGTGTTTGAAACCTTCAAGAAGTGGAAAGCTCTTGTTGAGAATCGACAGGGAAGAAGATCAAACGTCTTAGGACCGATAATGGTCTTGAGTTACGTGGTGGCGATTTTAATGAATTACGTGCGGATGCAGTATTGTTCGACACCGTACAGTTAGACACACTCCACGACGAGAATGGAGTGGCGAACGTATGAACAGAACTCTATTGGAGAGAGCAAGATGCATGCTCTCTAATGCTGGCATGGAAAAGGATTTTGGGTTGAAGCATTAACACGGCTTGTTATCCGGTTAATCGCTCTCCTTCAACAAAGAATAGAATGCAAGACTCCTTTTGAGATGTGGTCGTAAGCCTTGTGATTACTCTAATCTAAAGGTTTTTGGATGCCCCGCTTATTATCATGTTAAGGATGGTAAGTTAGAACCTAGAGCAAAGAAATGTATTTTTGTTGGGTATGCTGATGGGGTGAAAGGTTATCATTTATGGTGCTAGGAACCTAACTCACCTAAGTTCATTATTAGTAGGGATGTTACATTTAATGAAATGCATATGCTTGATCAAAGGAAAGTTGCTGATGAGTTTGCAGGAAAACATGAGAGTGATATGAATGAGGTGGAGGTTCAGGTGGAGCTTCCAGAAAAGACCTCTCAGAATGTTTTGAATGAGCAAAATGCTTGTGTTGATTCAAGTTCAGATGAGGAAGCTGTAGATGAGGTGGAGCAGCCATACTCTATTGCTACTGGCAGAGAAAGGAGGCAGACTCGGCCTCCTCAGAAATATGGGTTCTCGATCCGGTGGCTTATGCTCTTACGACAGCGAAGATATGGGTATTCAGGAACTTTCTACCTATACGTAAGTCGTTACTTGCACGGAATCGAGAAATGGGCTATTGCTATGGTTGAGGAACTTGAATCACTTCACAAGAACCCGACTTGGGACTTGGTGCAGCTTGCCTAAGGGAAAAAGAGCCATCGGGTGTAAATGGGTCTTCAAGAAAAAGGAAGGAATTCCAGGTGTTGAAAATGCTAGATGCAAGGCTCGGCTCGTAGCTAAAGGCTACAACCGAAAAGAGGGAATTGATTATGACGAAGTTTTCTCCTCATGGTAAAACACACTTCCATTCGTGTGTTCTTGGCTATAGTTGCTCAATTTGACTTAGAGCTTGAGCAACTTGATGTGAAGATCGCTTACGCATGGCGAGCTTGAGGAAACTATTTATATGGCCCGCCCGAGGGCTATTATGTAGAAGGCAAGGAAGATCATGTTTGTAAATTGAAGAAATCCTTGTATGGTCCGGCAGTCACCAAGACAAAGGGTATAAGAGATTCGATGACTTTATGATAGGGAGTGGTTATCACAGGAGCAACTATGATAGTTGTGTTTACTTCAGGAAGGGTTCAGATGGATCCTTTGTCTATCTTCTCTTATACGTGGATGACATGCTCATTGCTGCAAAGAACATGTCAGAAGTGTTGATCTTGAAGAAACGGCTCAGTGAGGAGTTCGAGATGAAGGATCCGGGTCTGCCAAGAAGATCTTAGGAATGGAGATTCGGAGGGACGGGGAAAGGAGGAAGTTATATCTCTCGCAATGGCGGAGTTATATTGAGAAGGTACTTGAGAGGTTTGGCATGCAAAACGCTAAGCCCGTGAGTACACCGTTGGCATCCCATTTTAGACTTTCAGCTCTACATTCACCTCAATCGAGGTCGAGGAGGCTGCGATGTCTCGTGTCCCATACTCGGTGCGATCGGTAGCATTATGTATGCTATGGTATGTACTCGTCCGGACATTGCGCAGTGCTTAGTGTGGTTAGTAGATATATGGCGCATCCTGGAAAGGCCCATTGGCGAAAGGTGAAATGGATACTTAGGTATCTTAGAGGCTCCGCAGAGTTGGGCCTAGTGTTTGATAGAAAGCAGTTCCAACGGTACCTCAATCGTGGGATTTGTGGATTCCGATTATGCGAGGTGATCTCGATAAGAGGAGATCTTTGACTGGCTATCTTTTCACACTATCTAGTTCGGCTATTAGTTGGAGGTCAACCTTACGATCGACAGTTGCTTTGTCTACTACAGAGGCGAGTATATGGCAACGAAAGCGGTGAAAGAAGGTATTTGGTTAAGGAATCTTGTTCAGGAACTTGGGCTACAGCAGGAAGACAATTCGGTTGTCTTTTGCGACAATCAGAGTGCTATATACTTGATTAGAAATCAAGCATATCATGAGAGGACTAAGCACATCGATGTCGAGTATCACTTTATTCGAGAGGCGATTCTTTGAGAGAAATATGACAAGAAAAGAAAATTGGTACAGCTGACAATCCTGCTGATATGTTGACCAAGCCAGTCCCTGCCAACAAGTTTAAGCATTGCTTGAACTTGATTGGCATGTTCAGTTGAGTTTGCCCTTTTGGGGCTTTGGTGGAGAGGTAAATGACAGTTCTACATTTGTTTTTGAAGTGGATATGTTCTTTCGTTGCAGCCCTTGTTTCCTACATCGAGTTAGCTCACGTAGGCTTAGGGACGCCGAGAGAATGTGTTCGGCTTCTTGACTGTTTTATTTTGGGAAATTCAAGCCAAGGTGGAGATTTGTTAAATATGTCTTGAATTTTATGTTCTCGGTCCGGTTCAACACCCGACCTGACATATTTTTGTGCGACCCGAAAATTGAGATTTAGTTCGCGACGCGGAGAGTTGGGCCGATAGGCCCAACTCATAGACGAACCAATGTTTCGGGGGGTTCGGGGGCGTAGCCCCCAAGGAAAAATTTCGGGAGCACTATTTATACTGCGGCTAGGTTTTCTCATTGATGTAGAGAGAGAGAATTTTATTTTCAGAGAGTTTTGTAAGCCGTGAGCTTTTGTCGTTGTTTCGACTTCTGAAAACTGTACTCTCTTTGATTATAGTGGAATTTTGTCTTGCCTCGCCCGTGGACGTAGATCACGTTGTGATCGAACCACGTAAATCCTCGTGTTCTGTGTTTGCTTTTCCGCGTTGCTACAACAGTTGTTGTAGTACGCCTCAATTGGTCCTCCTCCTTGTCGCATCCGAGCAACACGCCTCTTCAAGTCATAAACCTGAGAGGCATCCGTTCCGTCAAAGAAAGTCGTTGCAATTGCATCCCAGACAGATTTCGCTGTTGGGAAGCGAATGAAATTGCCAATCAACGCCGAATCCATGGAGTTGATAAGCCATCCTTTCACAGTCGAGTCTTCTGTTTTCCACCTCCGAAAGCCGGTAGGCAGTGGCTGAGGAAGGTCTCCATTGATGTATCCCAGTTTGTCTTTACCAGTGATGTACATCTCGACAACCTGAGACCATAATCCATAGTTGGCTCCATCCAGTTTTCTTTTTCGCTCGCTTTCTCTATTGCGGGACCGCCGTAATCGAGGATTCACGTACAGTACTCACAAAGAGCAAACCCTTGGCTCTGATACCATGTTAACACAATGATATTTCAAGGAAGAAAACCACGTTCCTCACTTTTCTGTATTTCTTCTTATTAAGTTTACAATGACCTAAAAGCGTATATATATACAAAGAAAAAGAAAGAATCTTAAAAAATATATCCTCTAAACTAGCTAACTATAATCCTTGATTCTAGCTAATTACAATCATAAATATATTTTACAGCTCATTCTCACAACTATCGCTTCTGAAGATGAATGCTCAGATGAAACAGTTCGATAGGTTTCATGTGATATTGTTGAAGTGATTTGATAGTTTCTTGTTAATTGCTTGACTATGATCTACCTGTTTAAATTTATATATTCACAAATCTGTGGTTATCCAGTTATTGATTTGAAAGGAAGTCTCTGCGTAGATGTATTTGATGTCTCAAAATCAAGACCAAGGGACTGCGAACTTAAAGTACAGAAGGAAAGGGTTTTATAGACAACATCACTTAGAAAGACAGAACGATCGCTCTCATTGAGGGCTAGTACATAGTTTCGTGGGCGAGACCAAGGAAGAAGAAGACTGATTAGTGGATTATCTAATATCTATGTATGAAATAAAGCAGTCGGTTAAGCAAGAACAAATTCGGAATTATTAAGCAATATAAATATTGTTTGACCATAAATGAAGTACTTGGTTCTAAGCATGACCTTAAAATACTTCATCTTGGTCTTCGTCTGAATCTTGAAATCACCTGGATGTAAAACAAACAAAAGGGTATTCCCTCTCCCGGGGAAAACAAAGATACACGGGGAATTGGGGGTGTGAGGCGTGCGGGTACTAGCACATTATAATAAGAAACGCATCCGTGGAGCCTGCCGTCCCTGTATATCAAACGGACAGGCTGCGGAGACCCTCTTAGGAGCTTCGGCTCCATGTGCCTTTACAATTCAGCAATTGTTCCTTTCTTATTTTCGATATTGATCGATCGGAAATGCTTTTGCGCGAGGTTATCGGACAACTCATTTGATTCATATTGCCCCTGCAAATCCATATAGCATGATCGCAGGTTGGATTTCAGCATGGACTCGGCATACGCTTTTGATGATGGCCCCGCACAACCTCCCACTTCCCTGTTTTTTGAATATAATCTACTCTCTTCCAGGCTCTATCAACTCTCCCCACCTGAGGTTGGCGCCCGAATCTTCTTCCTTTTTTCTTTTTGTTTCTCCCCAAGTTTCTCTACGAAAGTCTCTGAATTGCACAGCACTTAGCAAATGTATAGGTGACATGAAAACGTATTTATGAGAAAAGTTGACTAGATTGTGGTTTAGCAAGTTGAGTTTAGGAATTTGACATGGATAAAGGTGGCAAAATGGCCAATCACACACTTTTTAACTCGAATATGTTGGGCTGAGTTGTTGCATATTAATAAAAAGAACTTGTATTAGAAAGGTTGAAATGGGTGTAAAGTCTAATCTCGTGCGGGTGTTAATGGGTTTAAGATAAACCCATTTTCGACCCACTTTCAACAATACAAAAAGAATGACATTATCAAATAATAGTCCGCCCCAACAGATTACACTAGTGTTGTACCCCATGCGGCATGTACTGTTCTTTTATTAGGGTTGGTTCGTCAACTTGAGGTTGCGGTTGCGGTTCGTTTTGAGGGATTCATCGGGATATGTCCCTATCATCATAGGAAGATAATAGAACGTTTTGTAGTTTTATTTCCTTTGAAATCACAACAATGGGTCGATTATAAGTAATCAATAGAGTAGCCACTGATCACTGTACATAGTTTTTATGAATTCAATAGCTTAAGTTAGGCTGAGAAATAGACTACGGATCCTAGATTTATCAAGGACTATTATGTGATGGGGTTGCTCTGGATGGCAAGTAAAAGTATAATTTGGAACGATAAAACAAGATCGCGGTTCTTGAGAGTATTGGTCGTGGTCGTAGTAAAAGTGACATATAATATCACTTACCTCGAAATTGAACTTATATTCCGATTCCCTTGTGGTGACTAATTGTGAATGTCGTAGGATTTGACGGGCCGTGGCCCATCCGTGACCAAGCTTGAGCTTGTCCGCAGGCCTACGACCTTTCGGCTTTCCATGTCAGACGACCCTTCAACTGAATGACCCTACAGCTTCCCTTGGCAGGCGTCCTTTGAGCTCCTCCACGCCTCTAGGGCCTCTTGAACTTCTTGTACAGCTATGTAATGATTGTATCGGTTCAAACACCATAGTTGGATCATGAGGGGATCAACGGTTCAGAATAGCCCCGCACTTGTATATATACGGAACTGTTGAAAATATGTCTCGAGTTTGAGCCCGAAGTGAAAATATAAATTTCGAGAAAAAAAAAAGGAACGAAAAAATCTGCTGCGCGTTGGACTGAGCGGCTGAATTTGGAAAGTGAATTGTGGAATTTGAGTTGGACTTTGACTCAGTCTAACAAAGGTCAGAGAAAGAAAAGGAAAATAGAAAGAATATTTTATTCTTTCCTAATTCTAGTGGGAGTCAGAGTTTGCCAAAAAAAGACGAAATACGAAAGTCCAAACTTGGACTTGTTGATCGAATCGTGAAATATCTTCTCCACATTGAGTCGGCCACCGTGTGGTCCTTTGCTGCGGAATATATATTGTAGGGAACGTCATGGCAGATGCAGTCCTGAAGCGCCCTAATGCGAGTGCCTGATAGTTGGAATACTACTGGAACTGCTGTTAATAATTCCTCTGAGTCAACAAGTTTGACATTTGATGGTGTTCGAGATTTAATTCTGAGTGAGGACATCCGTAGAAGAGAATATGGCGAACATGTATCTACTGCTTTAGTAGGTGAAAATAGAGGAAGAACTTGTACATGTGTTAGTAGAAGTGGTATGAACTCGAATAGACGAACTCAGTCTAGGACTGGTGGTGTTGTCTGTTGGAGTTGTGGCAAGAGAGGGCATCTTAGAAGGGATTGCCTTAAGCTGAAGAATGACAAGGGTAAGGGAATTAGAGTTGATCCTGCGGATGATGTTACAGCTATAGCTGATGATTGTAATTCGGATAGTGCTGATTATGTCTTGTCTGTCACTGATGATTCGTCGTTTGGCGGATGAATTATGGATTCTAGTTGTTCTGTTCACGCTACACTAAATAGGAATTGGTTTACTACTAAATCATTGCACGGATAGTAGTAAAGTGCAGTTGAGGAACAATTTCGAATGCAATGTTATAGGTGTTGGTGATGTTAGAATCAAAATGCATGATGGTATCGTGTGGACATTGACTGGAGTGAGGCATATTCCAGAGTTGAAGAAAAATCTGATTTCCTTGAGTGTCCTGGATTCAGCTAAGTGTCGGTATTCTTCAGAATGTGGAGTTCTGAAAGTTGTTTGAGGTGCCTTTGTGATAATGAAAGGAATCAAGCATAGAAGCCTGTATGAACTTCAAGGTGAGACAGTGATGGAATTCGCTGCGGAGACGTCGGATGCATCTGTTCGAAAGTCTGAATTGTGGCATATGCGTTTGGGGCACATTAGCGATAGAAGCCTGAAGGTTCTAAGTGAAAGAAATTTGCTATGTGGTTATGTGGCTAACGAACTGAATGTATGCAGGTGCTGTGAATTAGATCAACAGCAGAAAGTGCAGTTCAGTACAGTTGTTAAGGAAACCACGGATATTGCAGAATTAATTCACTTGGATATTCGCAGGTTATCGCGGTTTCCTTCGAGGAAGAGTGCTAGGTTTATGCTAACATTTATTGATGACTACTCGAGGAAGACTTAGGTGTTTGTGCTTAGGCACAAGTTTGATGCTATTGTCAGGATCATGCAGTTGAGAGCTTTGATCGAAAAGGAGACTGGTAAGAAGATCAAGCATGTGCAGATTGACAATAGTATGGAGTTTTGCTCGGAGCTGTTAAATGAATTCTGCATGAAGGAAGGTATAGTGAAACACCGCACTTGTGCCAATGAATCACAACATGTTGCAGAGTTGATGAGTAAAACATTACTAGAGACGGCCTATAAAATGCTCTCTAGTGCTGGTATGGCTAGGAGATTCCTAGCGGATGCGCTTAGTACGGCAAGCTACCTGAAGAATAGATTCCCATTGACTGCGATTGGATGTCAGACTCCCGAAGAAGTGTGGTCAGGTAACGTTGCTGATTATTCTGTTCTTAGAATATTTGGTTGTCCATGTTATGTTCGAGTTAGTGATGGTAAGCTCGATGAAAGGACAAGAAAGTGCATGTTCCTAGGTTATGCACAAGGTGAGCGAGGCTATAAGTTGTGGTGTCTAGAATTAAATTCACCTATTATCAGCAGAGAAGTTATGTTTGATGAGTCTCCAGTACTTCTAGGTATGAGTGTTAATAGCAGTGTTCATACGGATTTGAACGGTGTTCAGCTTGAGGTGGAGTTGCAACCAGAAACTCCTGAGGTAGCAGATACTAGTGGAGTAATCAACACATATGGTGCTCATAGCGAGGTGGAGCCTATAGATCCGACGGTTGTTGTAATTGTTGAAATTGACAAGGTGCGTATTCAGTCTTCTTGTAAATATAGATGCAATGATGGTTTTGTTTTATCTACGATTGAGGAGGTTGTGTTGAAAAATCCTTGTGGAGCAGTTAAAGGTACATGTGGAGTTGGTGTTCTGATAAAGTCCACGGCTATGGCGAAGTTCAAGCGAGGCTTGGACTTGGAAGATGTTTGTGGCAGTTGAGCCCATTGGGGGCTGTGGAAGAGTAGTAGCGAAATTCGGATTCTATCAAAGCGATTGTGACTTGGCTCAAACGTTGAGTCAAGGTAGAGATTGTTGAAAATATATCTCGAGTTTGAGCCCGAAGCGAAAATATAAATTTCGAGAAAAAAAAAAGGAACGAAAAAATCTACTGCGCGTTGGACTGAGCGGCTGAATTTGGAATTCTGAATTGTGGAATTTGAGTTGGACTTTGACTTGGTCTAACAAAGGTCAAAGAAAGAAAGGGAAAATAGAAAGAATATTTTATTCTTTCCTAATTCTAGTGGGAGTCAGAGTTTGCCAAAGAAAGACGAAATAGGAAAGTCCAAACTTGGACTTGTTGATCGAATCGTGGAATATCTTCTCCACATTGAGTAGGCCACCGTGTGTTCCTTTGCTGCGGAATATATATTGCAAGGAACGTCGTGGCAGATGCAGTCCTGAAGCGGCCCAATGCGAGTGCTTGGTGTGCCGTGCAAGTGAACAAGAAGCATTGTTATTGTGCACGAAGAAGGAAGCGCCACGTTTGTGAGTGCTTGGCGGTGGGTATTTATGTGGATTCTCGTTCGTGAATTATATCCAAGAAGAATTAGTGTTCAAGCGATTAAATTCTTGTGGTAAGAATTTGTGTATAATTCCTTCGCGAGATTGAGAGATTGTTTCGTGAGGAATTATGGGGCTAAACACTGCGTGAGTTATTCGGTGTAATTGAAGCTTGAGAAACACTAAGAGTGTTTGAGTGACTCGAGTATGGTTGTAATCTCCGTTGTATTGCTTGATTTATAGTGGAAGTCTGTGTTGTTCTTCCCGTGGACGTAGGTCACTACGACCAAACCACGTAAATCTAGTGTCCGATTTATTTTCTTGTTCTGTTAATTTTATTGTTCGATCGCTTGGCTTCCGCAACAGGGACCCTCCCCCTTCATTTGTACTAACTCATGCACAAGTAATACTACTACGCTGCTTTCTCTCCAATCTTGTGAATCGAGTGTGTGTGTGCAAGACTGACTTGGGAGGCCGTGCGGGTGTGGGATCATTGTGAATCAATCGACTCGTGACCAATGGTGTCAGAGCCTTCATTCCTAGTGAAATGGCTGATCCACGTTCCAATGCCGCGAATGCCTAAGGTGAGGACCGCGAGAATCGTGGAAGGGCGACCGAGAGAGTCGGCGTCCAAACCAAGAGGAGTCGTGCTACCTCTAGCTCGAGGGATCCGATGTGTGACTTGAAAGGCCAAATGACGGCATTAGAGGGAACCGTCATGGACGTCCAAGGGATGGTCGATGATCTGTAACAAACTGTCGAAGGAGTGGACGCTGGAAGGGAGGAGCTCTTGATCGAGTTGCAAGAGCTCAAAACCAGCATGGGAGAGCTCCGCGACGAGGTGTTAGGGGCCGTGACCCACGAGCTGCAGCAATGGGACGAGACCTGGGGGGGCGCCGCTGAGATCGCCGAGCTCAAGGGGAAGCTCGCTGAGGTAGAAGCAGCACGCGTGAACGGGATGATCACCGTGCATCCACGTATGGACGCACCCAAGCCGAGAGAGTTCAAAGGCTCGCGAGTGGCCAAAGACGTGGACAACTTCCTGTGGTAGATGGAGCGGTACTTCCAGGTCACAGGGATGAACGACGACACGACCCAGGTAAACACAGCAGTGCTGTATTTAGCTGATAATGCTTTACTGTGGTGGCGTCACCGCTTTACTGTGGTGGTGTCACAAGTCAGACGATAAAAGTGGCGACCCTATCACAATCTAAGCCAAGTTCGTTGAGGAATTTTGGCGGAACTATTATCCCGCCTATACTAAGGAGGAAGCTCGCGACAAGCTCAAGCGCCTTGAACAAAAGGGCATTGTTCGTGAGTATGTGAGGCGGTTCTCAGAGTTGCTACTCCATATCCCATTAATGAACGATACAAAGATATACCACAAGTTCATCAGTGGCCTCAAGCCGTGGGCCAAACAAGAGCTCAAACGGTGCAATGTGAGAGATCTCACGACGGGCACTTCCGTGGCGGAGTCCCTAGAGGAACCTAAAGTTTCGTTCACAGCCAAGTCCGACTTTCGTCTGAGGGATAGGGCCAATGGTGGGGGAGATCGGAACAAATACAAATGTCCGAATGGAGGCAAGCCAACAACGGCACCACTTAGGGCCCAACCGGAGTTGAGCGGTTTGGGACAACGAAAGGTACGCACCTATAAGTGCTTCTTTTATGACGGGCCACACATGGCTCGGGAATGTTCCAAGAGAGGCAAGCTGGCAGCCCTATGCAAAGAAGATGAGCCGCGAGAGGAGGCGCGGCTGGGTTCGCTGCGAATCCTTAGTTCCATTAAGGCCAAGAAGGCCAAGGAGTCCAAAGTAATGATGTTTGTGGACGTGAAGATTAGGAGTACCACGATGAGTGCGCTCGTGGATACCGGTGCGTCCGACCTCTTCATATCCCAAAAGGCCGCGAAGAAGCTAAATCTTCGGGTGGAGAAATGAGGAACTGGTTGACTCAAAATGGTGAACTCCAAGGAGGTCCCGCATTCCATACTTAGTAGTGTGTGCAACTCGACGCTTTGTTCGGGGATATTCAAGTATCAGTATGCCACTCACGGACATGTTGAAGAAAGAAAGGCTGTAGAAGTGGACATATCAATGCCAAGAAGAGTTCGATCGGCTAAAACGGGCCATGATCGAGGAGCCAGTGCTCGTGCAGCCCGATCATGCTAAGCCGTACAAGGTAGAGATTGATGCTTCTAATTTTGCGATAGGTGGTGTTCTCATGCAGGATGGACACCCGGTAGCGTTCGAGTGTCGGAAGTTGAATGAGACCGAACGACGGTATATGGTCCAAGAAAAGGAGATAACCGCAGTAGTGCACTGCCTCCGTACGTGGAGGCACTATCTCCTAGGATCAAAGTTCGTCATGCGGACGAATAACGTGACCACGAGCTACTTTCAGACCCAAAAGAAGCTAAATCCGAAACAAGCTCGGTGGCAGGACTTCCTGGCTGAGTTCGACTACATGCTGGCGTATAAACCAGGAAATGTCAATTTGGTGGTCAATGCCTTGAGCCGAAAGATGGAGTTGGCCAACATCATAAGTTGACCCAACTGCCCATGGATCGATTGTATCAAAGAGGGGCTCAAGCATAATCCAACAGCCTAGCAACTCCTTGATTATGCGTTGGAAGGCAAAACTAGACAATTCTGGTGGGAGGACGATCTCCTCTACACCAAGGGACGACGACTATACGTGCCGCTCTACGGGAAACTAACGAAAGAAGTGCTGCAACAGTGCCACGATTCCAAATGGGCGGGACATCCGGGGATTCACCGCACCATGGCGCTCATTGAGGACCAATACTACTGGCCTTATATGCGGGACGATGTCGAGGCGTATGTACAACAGGACAAGATCGAGTAACGTTCATCGTTGGGGCTCCTCGAGCCACTTTCCGTCCCGGAACGTCCATGGGAGAGTGTCTCCATGGACTTCATTGTGAATTCGCTCAAGTCCGAAGGGCGTCAGACCCTCATGGTTGTGGTGGACCAGTTCTCTAAGTATGCGACATTCGTGCCTGCAATAAAAGATTGTCCAGTCGAGGAGGCGGCCAAACTATTTGTTAAGCATGTCGTCAAATACTGGGGAGTCCCACAGACGATCGTGAGAAACCGTGATCCTCGATTCACCGGGCGATTTTGGACTGAGCTTTTCAAGTTACTAGGGTCGAACCTCAACTACTCTACAAGTTCGCATCCCCAAACCAATGGACAGACGGAGAGGATGAATGCACTCCTCGAAATATATCTCTGGCACTATGTGAGCGCAACACAAACAAATTGAGCGAGATTGATCGATGTAGCTCAATTCTCGTACAACTTACAACGGAGCGAGTCCATAAATCGAAACCCATTTGAGATCGTGACGGGGCAGCAACCGCTCACTCCAAGCACGGTTGCCTCGGGCTATCGGGGAATAACCCATCCTCGTACAAGTTCGCCAAAGAATAGCATGAGCAAGCGGACTTGGCGCGGACGTGCCTACACAAGGATTTAAAACGCATGAAAAAATGGGCCAACAAGAAGCGACGGTACGTGGAATTCCAGGTCGGGGACCTAGTGTTGGCCAAGCTACATGCGATCCTCCGATGCAAAGACGTGCACAAAGGCTTGATCCGTCGCTATGAGAGGCCCTTTCGAGTGCTCAAACGGGTTGGGAAGGTCACATACAAGCTAGACTTGCCACCGAAGCTCAATCTACACCCGGCATTCCATGTAAGTATTCTTAAGCCCTTCTATGTACATGAGGAAGACCCGGATCAAGGGGAATCGCAGCGGGCGCCACTTGGGGCAAAAACCTCATATGACCGAGACGTCGAGTGCATCATGGTTGATCGGATCATACGGAAGTGATATTGTTCGCCGAGGCGAGAATACTTGGTTCGATGGAAAGATCTTTCAGAGAGTGAAACAAGCTGGGAACCCTCCGAGGCTCTTTGGCAGTTCCAGAAGCACATTGACGCATTCCATGCCGAAGACGCGACTAGGGTGTCACCCGATTAGGTGGGGGAGAATGACATGGCCTAAGAGCGCGAAGGGCTTCGAGCTAGCTCGAACGAGGGCCACGGACAGGCCGTGGCCTATCCGTGACCAAGCTCGAGCCCGTTCGTAGGCCTATGACCTTTCAGCTTTCCATGCCAGACAATCCTTCAGCTAAACGATCCTACAGCTTCTCTTGCCAAGCGTCCCTTGAACTCCTCTACGCCCCTAGGGCCTCTTAAACTTCTTGTACATCTATGTAATGATTGTATCGGTTTAAATACCATCGTTAGATCATGAGGGGATCAACGGTTCAGAATAGCCTCGCACTTGTATATATAGGGAACCCTCCCCTTCATTTTTACTAGCTCATTCACAAGTAATACTACTACACTGCTTTCTCTCCAATATTGTGAATCGAGTGTGTATGTGCGTGCAAGGCTAACTTGGAAGTAATCCTAAGGTCATGCAAGTGTGGGATCGTTGTGAATCGATCGACCCATGACACTAGCGTCCTACTTAGGATGGCCATTTTGTCTCTATCCTGATCAAGACAAGATGGAGAAGGAAATGGCAGTCACGAAGGACAGGTATGGCTTGGTTCGCAAGGTTTACATTGTATGCGACCAAGACCTTCTGATAATGATAGGCCTGCAAAGGTGGATGGTGGAGATGAACGCGCCAGATGAAATGAAGGTGATCTCTAGCTCATATCACATGGTCATGTTCTCTAAGCCTCTAGAGCCGTGTGCCTCCCTTGAAGAGATTGGGCAACATTATTGTTACTTGAGATTTGTTACGCAAGTTGAATTTTTTTCTTCTAACATGAACAATAAGGTTGATGAATGAAGAGTGTGCTTGTTTCTTCGTGAAGAAATAAAGAGTGTTGAAATAGTTTGTTATCATAAAAATAAATTATTATTGGATATGAAAAGAGGTGATTGTTGAATATGAAAAGAAGTAATTGCTGACATGAAGAGAAGTGATGATTGATTATGAAAGGTAGTGATGGTTCCAATAAGGTATCAAATCTCAAGAGATGTGTTGTTTGATTATTTATAAATAGAATCAAATCATACATTGTTCATGTTAAATGGCACTATTTCACAAATGATGAAGTGTGTTATGAGTGGCACCCTTTGAAAGGGTGTGAGCTGTCTTCTAAGGGAAGTTAAAAATCACTTCCTGAAGATAGAGATGAGATAAGACACTCGTGTACAGAAAATAACGTACGTTTCCTCTCTATTGAATAACACACAAAAAGGGCTTCCATTGTTACTTTGAGAAGACGATTGTCATTATTGCTGTAGAACAATAATATTTTTCTCGTGATTATATTTGGAACGGTGTGAAGTTGTAGATTCGTCTAACATTCGCTGGTAATTCAATTCACATTCCTAGGTAATTCTTTTGTTGTGCATCGAAAGGTTAGTCAATTTCTTCCACGATCTTTTTCCCAACAGTTCAAAATAAGACCAACAACTATCTCTTCTTCATAACTCTCTTTCCTTCGTAACATTCTCTTTTCCTCTCTTTTCATGCACAAGTTTGATAACAAATTCAAGGTAAAATTCTAAGAGGGAAATTATGAAATTGCTTAACTCATTTCTCTATGATTATGGTATATTTGAGGTATAATTTGTTTCAAACCTGGTGGCAACAATAGTGGGGTAAATAATACCTTAAGGATTTTGATTGCTATCACGCATCAAAGCATCAAATGACTATAAACTATTGTTCTATCTTCATGAACAAACAATTTTTTCCTAACAATCTTAAGGTATTATTTTCGTGGAGATGGACACAGTGACTGCGTCAAGTGCTCACAATCCGGACAGAGAAGTATTAATGAAACTTTTGTTTCTATTTATATGGTTGAGTCATCTTCCTTGTGGCATAATAGATTATCTCATGTTGCTATAGTACTTTGAAATTTACGTATAAAAGTGGTCCGATATCATGTGATAATCTAGATAAAAAGGATTGTGTAATATGTTCAAAAGAAAAGATGACTAGGATATCGTTCTCAAAAGTAGAAAGATCTACCATAGTATTTGAATTGGTGCATTCTGATATTTGCGAATTATATGGTATAGTAACTAGAGGTGGAAATGTTATTTTATTATATTTATTGATGATTACACTAGATATACTCATGTTTACCTTATGAAATCAAAAGATCAAGCTTTTGATCTGTTCAAGGTATGTAAGGCCATAGTTGAAAATTAATAGAATGAAAAAAAATCGAAATGTTGAGAAGTGATCAGGGAGGAGAATACTTCTCATGAGATTTTTCTAGCGTTTTGTGAAAAAAAATGGTATTGTACATCAAGCAAGTGTACGTTATACACCAAAACAAAATGGAATGGCAAAAAGAAAGAATCAAATTTTAGTAAATATGGTTAATTCCATGATCTTGTGAGCAAAATTGCCAATCAATTTGTGGGGAGAAGCACTTCTTGCTACATGTCATGTTCACAACAAAATTCCTTCAAAAAAAATTTAAGATATCTCCATATGAATTATGGAAAGGAAGAGTACCGAATATCCATACTTTAAAGTATGGGGATGCCTTGCATATTATAGAATTTCTGATCCTAAGTTAACCAATTAGGACCAAGGGCATATAAAAGTATGTTTTCTAGAATTGTTGAAAATTTTAAAACTTATCAATAATTAGATATTAAATATAATATTATTGTGGAATCAAGAGGTGTTGAATTTCTTGAACACAAATTTCTTAAAGATTCAAGTGATATCTCAGCATATTTACAAACAACAATTGACACAAGCAATCCTTCATTAAGTAAAATAAAATTGTTTGATTCTCCGAGTGAACCGAGGAGAAGTCAAAGAGTGAAGAAAATGAAAGATTTTGATTATGATTTTGTAAATCTCTTGGTAGAAGGAGATAAGGAAAATGTTATGAATAAATTACCCATGTTATTTCACTTCGATGAAGATCCAAGAACGTTCAGTGAGGCTTGACATTTAGAGATGCATCATTTTGAAAGGAAGAAATTAATGATGAAAGGTGCCGAGAAAGAAATCTTAATGCTCTGTTAGATCGTCTGCATGAAATTTTTCGATTTTACACAAATCTCAATTGACATACAAACAAAGAATAGATAGATTTACTGCTTTGAAATATTTTGAATTTATCATATGATTAATTGAAAATCTATTTCTAAGCAAGTGGAGGAATTTCAAATATATGTTACCAAACTCAAAGTTCTTTATGATTGAAGTTTGTAAACCTTTTCAAGTTACTAAAATTATTTCAAAATTGCCTTCAACTTGGAACGATTATCCCAAACTTTCCCACACAATCAAGAACCTAAATTACATGATTCCGTGATGTGCCTACTTGATAAAGATGAGATTACAATCTTTCAATTCCACTCACTCTTAAGTGTTTCCCAATCCTAGATTAGGCCCAAACCTAGGATGATCAATCACAAGAAAAGGGCTTTATCACACTCTTAAGTCTGTTGGATGACGGCTCTCAATACTATTTGTGTCTCTTGCAAGTTTTCACACATATCAAAGCACACTCACTATGCACACGAGAGCAAACTCTCAGGCCATAATGCATTTTTTAAACAAAATTATAACTTAATTCCTCCAATTTAGCTTATCTACTTTTCTCTCTGATTATTTAAACCTTTTCTTTTCTTTTCTTTTCCTTTCAAATTATCTCTAATAATTATGGGGATAGTGATTAATGTAAGGTTTAAAACCTGGTGCGAGGCAAAAAGAAAATATAGAAAACAGATGATGATAGCGAGTCTTCATCGGACAATTTTGAATGACATGACTTAGTCATGGCAATTAGTTGGTATGGAGATTGGCTTAGCAAATTTACCTGTAAAAACATACAAAAAGAAGTCGCCTTGACTTGAGCAAATAAGCCCAAGCCGAAAATGAGGTGAAGCAAGCTAAACTGTTTCTTTTTTTTGTTTTTCCAAATAAACTGATTGGGTGTTTGGAAGACAAGAAAATTTGATTATAATAAGTTGTATATAATGGGTGTGCTTCTAATAAAAACAAATGGTCGTGTATCATCGATTATCTTATTGTGAACCCATCTGTTTCATGTACCGGATCCCAATACCTCGTGTCGTTCGTTCATAAATTTTGAAAAGTCAGTGACACTTTGCCGTTATTTCCTATGTGATCCAACCTCGAAAATAACATTGGTCGACCCTGAAAGCGATGTTGATTAGAAAGTAAAAGCAAACACAAATGCGCCAAAGAATAGGAACAATGTTAGGTATCCTGTTACTGATGTAAAACCCTTTCAAACCTAGAGAATAAAAAAAAAGGAAAAGGCAACCTTCAATGTTCTCCAATCGCATATAAAAACTCCAACAGTGAAACCAAAACCAACCGTAGGCCTGAGCTGACTCATTACTGGACAAATGAAAGCAAAGTCAACCATCAGTATATTGTTTTCCATCCCTTCTAACTATGCTCATCCTAATGATAATTTAACAAATGGGCTTCAAATTATGCAAAAGTATTTCGGGGAAATTGGAGGCACAGGACGTGTGAGCGCAAACACATTAAAATAAGGAACGCGTTCATAAAGTTCGACGTCCCTGTATATAAAACGAATAGGCCATGGAGGCCCCTATGGGAGCTTCGGCTCCTCTTCTGTAATGAGGTTACCTCGTAAGCAAACACTAATGATCCACATGAGATCCATGATTATGAGAATGTATTGGAGACAAAAAACGAGAATTTGTAACCGGCAATTCGAGACACACTTACAATAAAATGTGGTACAAAAAAATTTCATGATTGCTATTACAATATATTTTTTCTCACCACACAACGAAAATACTTAAAGCTCACTACTAGCTTATATAAGGACACACCCACAACTCTTATTTTTTTATGCTCTCGTGGCTTACTCCTAAATTCACATAAAACTCTATTTATAGAGCAATGGTCGGCAGGCATGGTTACAAAAGCTGCTGCACGAGGAAAATATTGCGGCCGAATATATTGAAGTGAACAACCTAGCTTCGCGCGTGATTGAGATCTCTGAGAAAGAACAACACTTCTTCAATTTGTATTACGAAGGAATTTAATGCTGGTGCCCCTAGCTAAGGAGAGTTTTGTTATTGATTTCAAGAGGTGTTGACAATTGAACAATCAAGATCAATTTCATAAAGATTCACCACCTGAGGATCGGAATTTCTCGTGCAAGATTAAAATGGGTAAGTGGGTCGATCTACTAAGAGACAGTGCCTGTTTAGGGTAACAAAGATCCCATTAATCGCATTTAACCAGCCAAACAATCGGATTCGACGTGCAAATGCTCAGCTGCTACAACACGTTGCCCTTGGAGCTTTTGTTGTAATGTTTACATTGAAGGTAAAAACAAACCAATCCCTCGACATTATCTTCTCCACGCTCTTTATATCTTCTTGAAGAAACAGACATAACCTTCGTTCATCAACCTTATTATCTTATTGATGACCATGGGATCAATAATGCTGCTCAATCTCTTCAAGGGAAGCACAGAGCTCTAGTGGCTTAGAGAACATGACCTTGTGATCGGAGCTGGAGATCACCTTCACTTCGTCTGGCGGGTTCATCTCCACCATCCATCTTTGCAGGCCTTCCATTAGTAGCAGGTCCTGGTCGCACACGATGTAAACCCTACGAACCAAGCCGTATCTGCCCTTCGTCACCGCTATCTCCTCCTCCCTCTTGTCTTGGTCGGGATGGAGATGGAAGGCCGCCCTAAGTAGGACGCCAGCATCAAGTCCTTCGAAACGATGAAAGGAAAATCACAAGATGAGTTCTAATTTTCGATACCCTTTTTAATTTCTTGTGAATTAATTACAATTAAACTATGTTTAGTGTTGATAATTTTATGTGTATTAAAAAAAAAATAGGTAGACTAACCTCAGGTGGTGAGAGTTGATAGACCTTGGAAGCCAGGAAGTCAAGTCCAAATGAAATATAGGTTGGAGGCTGTTCGGGGCCATCATCAAACCGGTATATCGGATCCATATTATATTCCACTCTACGAGAATGCTACAATCATACAAAAAGATAATGCAACATCAATGATCATGACGCAAGTAAATATATACATGTATATATATAATGATGTGACATAAAGAGAAGGTTAATTTGATATTTACTGTGTAGATTCTCTCGAGTACTTGACTTAATTTGGACAATCATGTCATGTCAATGCATTTAATTGGGTCCCATTTGTGGCGCTATACATCCCAACATCTTACGCAACGAAAAGTACATTAGAAATCGATAACAAAATGCCACATCGCCGTTTTAGACAATCTAAATCGTTAGAGCAACTTAAATGAACGAAATTTAAAAGTTAATGAACTTAAATGAGAGATCGAATAATTGCGGCATTAAACTAAGCGATGTGTGAAAGATTTGAAATTTCTAATGTACTTTCCTGCAAATGCACATTAAAGGGCAGAGTTTTATGTCGGCACCATGTTGGCGAATGTTCCACTATATGGACGTGTTAAATAAAAGCTACAAAAGGAAATTAACAGTTTTTTTTTTGTGACGATCATAGCTAGGCTTTTTTGCAAAATCAAGTGCAATAAGAAGCATATTACCATGCCACAAATGAAAATGAAAAAGAAGATGCATTACCATGCCATGTGAGCTGATAGTAGTCTTATTCCTTATCAGATAGTGACCGGCTTCGCCTCCCCTATTTGGGTGTAATCTTTTGTAGCCATCCCATAATTAGATTACTTGATAATCTCAAGTACGATACTGCTTATACATAAAAGGACAAGAAACACCTCGAGATGACATCTATATAGGTGTTTGATACATTCTATAATCCCTTAAATTGTATTATTACATTAGGTTTCGCATGTGTCCCGCACTGAACCAACCAATAATACTTTTTTGCCTAATTTGAAAGCTCCTTCAACAAAATTGTTATCAAGATAAACATAGTTAGTTGGGATGGAAAACTATATGCTAACCTTAATGACAAAGCTCATCATTCGATCATTCCTTTCTAAGTGATGATGCAAGTAAGATGACTTCATTTTTGTACTTTTAATTATTTTAACATCTCCATCTCGAAGTAGAGGAGATGATATAGATTGGACACTCGGGAAAATTGTCCAAAAAGTCCTAAACCTATTGCACTTTTGTCAATTCAGTCATAAACATTTTAAGTTTGCAAATTCAGTCCTAAACCTTTTCACTTCTTGCCAATTAAGTCCATCTTGCCAATTTTGGCCGGCTAGCGCTGACGTGGCCGCTGGCCGGCGCCGACCTTCCAGCCAGCGCCGGCCATCCAGCCAACGCTGACATGGCCGCCGGCCATCCAGCCAACGCTGACCTGGCAATTTTTAAATAATTTTTTTCTTTTTTTTTCTGACTTCTTTTCTCTAGCCAATCCGACGACTACCGACCAGAGGCAAGAGCCGGCAAGGTCGACCTCGCCAGCCTCTAGCGAAGCTCGCCCCCGTCGGCCACCGGCGAGACTTGCCAGCCCTCGCCTCTGGCCGGTCGGGTCACCGATCATTAGATCGGCTAGAGGGAAGAAGTCAGAAAGAAAAACAAAAGAAAAAACAAATTCAAAAATTCAAAAAAATATTTAAAAATTGTCTCGTCAACGTTGGCCAGACGGTCGGCGCCGGCCGGCAAAAATTGGCTGGATTGACTTAATTAGCAAAAAGTGAAAAGGTTTAGGACTGAATTAGCAAATTTAAAGGTTTAGGATTGAATTGGCAAAAGTGCAATAGGTTTAGGACTTTTTGGACAATTTTCCCTTGGACACTCGTAAGAACCTTTCTAGGGAAAATTTGTATTCATCATCATATGTGTGGTTTACTGTAGCAGAAAAATATCCAAAAGCTACTTGTTTACCATTTTGTTAGCCAAGTTTCATAAGACAACATTATGTGGAGAGAGAGAGAGAGAGAGAGAGAGAGAGAGAGAGAGAGAGAGAGAGAGAGAGAGAGAGAGAGAGGTACCTCTTCAAGGATGGAGTGATAGGTGAGGTGAGGGCCAGGCGTAACGGCTGCGGCAAACACAGCAACTGCAATTTTCTTAGGAAATCTCTCCATGGCCATTGACAGGACAAGCCCTCCCATGCTATGCCCTACCAAAATCACCTTCTCTTCCTGACGAAGACTCTCCAAGAATTCGAAGAGAGGCTTGACATACTCCCCGATCGAATTCAATTATTGAGCTTGCTTTGGATGGATCCCTGAAGCGGCCATGTCCAAGGCAGTAACCTTGTGTCCTGAGGACTTGAGGAGGGTGGCCACTCGGTACCAGCACCAAGCTCCATGGCAAGCCCCGTGGACGAGCACAAAGTGCTTCTCTCTCTCACTTTCTTTGCAATCCATGTGTAGTAACGAGTCGGCTTAGGCCTCTGATTGCCTTTGCTTTCACGGTTGGATTTCTAATGGGAGCTTCAAGAGTGTTAAAGGTTCTATTTATAGAGCAATGGTCAGCAGGCATGGTTACAAAAGCTGCTGCACGAGGAAAATATTGCAGCCGAATATACTGAAGTCAAGAACCTTGCTTCACGTGTGATTGAGATCTCTGAGAAAGAACAACACTTCGTCAATTTGTATTCTGAAGGAACTTAATGCTGGTGCCCCAAGCAAAAGAAAATTTTGCTATTGATTTCAAGAGGTGTTGACAATTCAACAACCAAAATCAATTTCATTATACCTTGACATTAACTCCTTCCACACGGGGTACCAAGTCTTTCGAAAAGTGTCAAAAAGTCATAAACTTTTTGCATTGGTGCAATTTAGTCCTAAACCTTTTTTGGTGTCAATTTAGTCTTAAACCTTTTACATTTGTGCCAATTTAGTCCTAAACCTTTTTGGTGCCAATTGAGTCCTAAACCTTTTGCATTGGTGCCAATTCAGTCCTAAACCTTTACATTGATGCCAATTCAGTCCTAAACCTTTTGCATTTGTGCCAATTCAGTCCTAAATATTTTTTAGCTAAATTAATCGGAATGACTAAATTGGCACAAATACAAAAGGTTTAGGACTAAATTGGCACCAATGCAAAAGGTTTAGGACTCAATTGGCACCAAAAAAGATTTAGACTCAATTGGCGCCAATGCAAAAGGTTTAGGACTCAATTGGCACCAATACAAAAGGTTTAGGACTGAATTGGCACAAAAAAAAGGTTTAGGACTCAATTGGCACAAATGCAAAAGGTTTAGACTGAATTGGCACCAAAAAAGGTTTAGGACTAAATTGGCACCAATGTAAAAGGTTTAGGACTTTTTTGACACTTCTCCCTCCAATCGGTATAACTATATCTCAACCATTGATGCACTTAGCTACTACTTACACAAAATAATCATTCACATCATCAACAATAGAGAGGATAAATAGTGTACAAGAGCACCTGCGGATGACGTTGGATTCTCTTGAAAATGAAAGACATTGTACCGACCGAATTAAAAAGCATAAAGATTCACCACCTGAGGATCGGAATTTGTCGTGCGAGATTAAAATGGGCAAGTGGGTCGATCTACTAAGAGGAAGTGCCTATTGAGGATAACAAAGATCCCATTAATAGCATTTAATCAGCCGAGCAATCGAATTCGACGTGCAAATGCTCGGCTACTACAATACGTTGCCCTTGGGGCTTTCGTTATAATGTTTACATTGAAAGTAAAAAAACCAATCCCTCGACATTATCTTCTCCACGCTCTTTATATCTTCCTGAAGAAACAGACATAACCTTCGTTCATCAACCTTATTGTCTTTTTGATGACCATGTGATCAATAATGTTGCCCAATCTCTTCAAGGGAAGCACAGAGCTCTAGTGGCTTGGAGAACATGACCATGTGATCGGAGCCGGAGATCACCTTCACTTCGTCCGGCTGGTTCATCTCCACCATCCATCTCTGCAGGCGTTCCATCAATAGCAGGTCTTGGTCGCACACGATGTAAACCCTACGAACCAAGCTATATCCACCCTTCGTCACCGCTATCTCCTCCACCATCTTGTCTTGGTCAGGATGAAGACGGAATGGCCGCCCTAAGTAGGATGCCAGCATCAAGTCCTTCGAAATGAAGAAGGAAAAATCACGAGATTAAGTTATAATTCAAGTACCCATGTAATTTCTTGTGAATTAATTACTTTTAAACTATGTTTAGTGTTGATAATTTTATGTATATTAGAAAAAATAAGTGAACTAACCTCAGGTGGAGAGAGTTGATAGACCTTGGAAGCCAGGAAGTCGTGTCCAAATGAAATATAGGTCGGAGGCTGCTCGAGGCCATCATCAAACCGGTATATTGGATCCATTTTATATTCCACTCTGCGAGAATGCTATGATCATACAAAAAGAAAATGTAATATCAATGAGAATGACGCAAATGAATATATACATACATATATAATGATGTGACATAAAGGGAAAGGATAATTTGATATGTACTGTGTAGATTCTCTCAACTACTTTACTTAATTTAGACAATCATGTCATGTCAACTTGCCTAGAAAAGTAATGAATAGTTGAGATGCATGTACAAGTAATTTGTCTAAATCACGTGGAGGGTACATGTTATAATCATTGAGCTTCAACATCAATGCCTGAAATATTTGTTATTACAGGCAAACCTAATGAAATGAAGTCAATGCATTTGATTGAATCCTATTTGTGGCACTGTATATCACCCAACATTAGACACAGCGAAAAGTAAATTGGAAGTTCCAAATCATTCAAATGACACTCAGTTTTGTACTACAACTTTTTTATTATTCCTTTAAGTTCCTTAACATTCAATTTTCGTTCATTTGAGTTACTTTAGTCACTTGCTCACGTGAACAATAAATATGACATTATTTGGAAAAAACCATGTAGCAGCGATCTTCTCAATAACAAAATGCCTCATCACCATTTCCAACTATCTAAGTTGTCAGGGTAACTTAAATGAACGAAATTTGAAAATTAAGGAAGTTAAATGAACGACAAGTTGTGACATTAAATTGGGTGCCGTACGAAAAATGTATAATTTTTTATATATTTTTCTGCAAATGCACATTTGTGTTCGCAGTTCTTCGTTGGCAGCATGTGTGCAAATGTTCCACTATAGTGGACGTGTTAGATAAAAGCTACAAAAACAAAATAACAGCTTTTCGGTGAAGATCTCAGGTGAGGTGTTTTTCCAAATTTAAGTGCAATAAGTTGAATTATCGTGCCACAAATGAAAAAGTACCATGTGAGACGATATTAGTCTATTCCATACTGATTAGTGGCCGGCCTCACCTCCCCGGTTTGGGTGTAATCTTTTGTAGCCATCCCATAAATAGATTACTCGATAATCTCAATTGGGATATGGCAAGAAGCACGTCGAGATGACAGCTTCATATGTGTTTGATACATTTTATGTCGCATGAGTCCCGCACTGAACCAACCAATACTACTTGTGTTGTGCCTAATTTGAAAGCTCCTTTAACTAAATTAGTATCAAGATAAACATAGTTAGTTCGGATGGAAAACTATATGCTAACCTTAATCATACTGCTCATCATTCGATCTTTCCTTTCTAAGTGATGATGCAAGTACAACTTCTTCTTTTTTGTACTCTTAATTATTTTAACAGCTCCATCTTGGAGCATTATGCAGTCTTCCTTAATCACATAGAACTCAGTAGCGGGTGCAAATGTCTAACAAGATTCGGACACGATTAGTTCGAGAATATCACCGTTTGAAGCGTTTGAATCCCCCCTTTTGAACTCATAGATTGGGCACTCGTAAGAACCTTTCTAGGAAATATTTTTATTCATCATCATGTGTGGTTTACTGTAGCAGAAAAATATCCAAAAGCTGACTTGTTTACCATTATGTTAGCCAAGTTTCATAAGAAAACATTACGTGGAGAGAGAGAGAGAGAGAGAGAGAGAGAGAGAGAGAGATACCTCTTCAAGGATGGAGTGATAGGTGAGGTCAGGGCCAGGCATGAGAGCAGCAGCAAACACAGCAACAGCAATTTTCTCAGGAAATCTCTCCATGGCCATTGACAGGACAAGCCCTCCCATGCTATGCCCTACCAAAATCACCTTCTCTTCCTGACGAAGACTCTCCAAGAATTCGAAGAGAGGCTCGACATACTCCCCGATCGAATTCAATTCTTGAGCTTGCTTTGGATGGATCCCTGAAGTGGCCATGTCCAAGGCAGTAACCTTGTGGCCTGAGGACTTGAGGAGGGTGGCCACTCGGTACCAGCACCAAGCTCCATGGCAAGCCCCATGGACTAGCACAAAGTGCTTCTCTCTCTCACTTTCCTTGCTATCCTTGTTCAGTAATGTGTCGGCTTAGGCCTCTGGTTGGCTTTGCTTTCACTGTTGGAGTTTTAATAGGAGCTTTCGAGAATGCTAAAGGATTCATTTTCCCCTTCTTCTTATTCTCTCGGTCCAAACGGTTGTGCATCAATTTCAGTGTACCAAACATTATTCATTGTTCTTCTGCTCATTCGGGTCTCCCTTTTTACCTTCAACCGATATCGCTTTCGCTTTCAACGCTTCTTTTGGATCACGGCCAAAACATATTTGTCCGTTTCGATATCGGATCACCCGTATGGAAGATGATAACAAGGATCACTAACTTTTCGACAATTATATGAATGAGCGTCTCGTATCGAAAATCAATGCATGTGAAACAAATTTGGTCGCAATAATGTGTTTTTTGTTAAAATTGTTGGAAAAATGTTAGATAATATGGAAAATATAATAAGAATTGGAAATTTATTGAAAAATATGAGAAAATAATATCAATTGTCTGAGGCGTGCAAGCACTGTCCTTAAAGAGAATTCCGCTCCTCGGAGTGCGAAACTTGGTGTGCAAGGCTCTAGCGGCTATCCTCCCAAGATACAACATATCTTATTCTATACTCCGCACAGAATATTAGAAGGAACAGGAACAACGTTATGTATATAACTCAACAAAGAAAAAAAATAAGAAGGAAAGGAAATTATCTTTTTTAATTCATTCTCTTCAAGGGTTGTGGTTTGAAATATTTATATTCAGATGAAAAAGGGCCCTTAAATAGACCGTTATAAATTTATTGATAATTAATAGATGAACGCCATATGGCCGTTATAAAATGATGAAGAGTTTATATAGAAATAAATCAACGTTATAAAGCCGTTACACGGCCGTTACAAAGCTATTATAAAACGTTACAAAAATCATTTTACATTAATAGACCGTTACAAATTGACCGTTACAAATTGATTACGGTAAAAAAAACATTACAAAATCAATAACTTCTGGGAAAATCTTTGCATTAGGAACATCCATTTCATCAATTATTTACAACTTATTATAATCTAACATCCTTGTCTTCCAAACAAACCCACCCAACCAGTTTACTTTGAAAAAGTGTTTAGCTTGCTCCACCTCGATAGCAATATAATTTCTTCATCAGATGCTTTTTTCTGCTAATTTTCAAGGGAGGAAACTTAAATTTGAACGAGCATAGTCTATGAGGGCGTTACTTGGTATTAAATAAAATGATTAATATATGGCACCTATCCAGGGAATATTACTCTGGGTTTTGCTCAGGTCAAGACATTTTCCTATTTCCAGAAAAGCTCAGATTCAACTTTAGGTCGAAGGGGGGAAGAGGACAAAAGATTGATCTTTGTTGCTGCTGAATGAATCCGAGGCAGCATCTCCATGTTGAGCTAACGATAATGTTCGGTAGCTGTTACATTAAGAACACATCATTGTAGAAGTTAACGAATATAGTCATGTGTCAAGTACTGATTATGGATAACTTACTTAATGCAATAGGACAGCCAGCGCAATAGGACAACGAGCACTAACGTTGATAATTTTTATAATTTTTTATTCATAAAAAAAAGAAACGAAAGAAAGAAAAAGATAAAAGAAAATTTTAAAAAAATTCAGAAAATTTTAAAAATATATATTAAAAATTTTCCATGACAGCATTGTCGGCATTCATGTAAGCAATTTCCTGCCTAAATTGGCTGAAATGACTAAATTAACAAATGGTCAAAAGGTTTACGACTAATTGGCTAAATAAAGTGAACGATTTATAATTGAATTAACACAAACGCATTAGGTTTAGGATTTTTTTTGAAATTTTTTCAGAATAGAGTGTCACATCATGAAACAAATTCGAGTTGAGTGTTCAATTAAAGAACCCCATAAAAAAGATGGTGATTGATGTTGGCTTAACACCTATCGCGCCCGAAAGGAGGGGCCGAACTACTCAAATAGGAATGAAATTCGGTGCATGAAGAGGCAATAGATTTTCGATTATGTCAAGATAGAAATTCTTTTCCATGCCTTGCTCAACTGACGAATCATTTTGCGCTCAATCGCGATTAACATCGAGTAATTTCCGACAAACTATCACCGTCTCTTAGAACTTACTTCGATCATAGATTCTTGCAATGTTGAGAACTTATTGTGATGACCAATTCTAAAGCATATATATATAAGTTCAAACTCAAAACAACCTTAAAACAGGTGGGATGGAAATAAGATGATTTAAACCATGCCTTAGACCGATCCAACTTTATTTTCATGGTGATAGAGAGAGAACTCGCATGGCCGCAGATCTCAAGAGCAATAACGTTCAGCAATCTCTCCAAGTGCATCGTGAAGCTCCTGTGGCTTAGAGAACATGACCATGTGATCGGAGTCGGAGATCACCATCACTTCATCCGGCGGGTTCATCTCCACCATCCACCTCTGCATGCCTTCCGTTATAGTGAGGTCCTGGTCACACACGATGCACAACCGACGGACGCCGCCGTATTTGCCCGTTGTGACTGCTACTTCCTCCTCCATCTTGGCTTGATCAGGGTACAGACGAAATGGCCTGACCAAGCTGGACGCCAAAGTCAAATCCTATGACATTTGCCGATTATTCATCATGAGCGTATCGAAATATATGAGGTTAATTTCGAATTACATGATATCGTACATGGCTTTTACCGCAACCACTGTTTTGCAATCTGATTTTATCACGCCATATCTGGCCATTTGAACGAGCCAATCACATACTAATTGAATTAAGATAAAACATACTATTATCTTCCTATGATACAAGGGAATATCACAATGGATTCCTCGAAACGAACAGCAACCTTACTTTACAAACCAACCCTAACCAAAAACCCTCACATGCCGCCAAAAAGTGGCGTACCCCCGTGTAACAATTGTTGTGCGACCGAGAGCATGGAATCAGGACGTGGAACAGAGTGGAAGAAGAAAAATCAATACGAAAAGTTTACGTGATTCGATCGGAGTGCCAGAACCTACGTCCACGAAAAGAGCTAGCAAATAATTCACTATCAAATTAGAGGAATATAACAGAGTTTACAATCACTCATGCTTAAGTGTTTTCCAATTTTATAAATTACACCCGATAACTCACGATATTTTCTCTACACACAAGTCTCTCGGAGCTCTAATCTCTCTCTCGTTGATGAGCTCTCAGTCTCCCCTCTCGGTGCTAAGGACTCGGCACACCTTCTTCGTTGGACGCCTCTCCCTCTCCTATAACGTAAAAGACAGAGAGAGAGTCTCCATCATAGTCCTTTAATTAACGCGCACATGGGACAGCTTCACCTGTTCTTTCCTTTCTATGGGCATGCATGCACATGGCATGTGAATGCATTAAAGAGGGAGACAAAGAATGGACAACATAATCAATGAGGATGGGCGCCCACCATACTATTTAATAAAGAAGTCCAATATTCTTTCTTCTTCAGGCTGCACGTTTCCTTCGTTTAATGTAAAGGTATTGAACTCCTTTTCTTCAGCTGAAGCAAATCTCTTCTCCGACTTTCCTTGCAGTCCCGAGCGAAGCCAAGGAAATAAGGAAGGCACGCGTACTGCTTTCTTTGGATTCTTCCTTCTACGCAGAAAAGTCCGACTTGGACTTTGTTCATTCGGCTAGACTAGAGTGTATTTATCGAGCTCAAACTAGAGATATATTTTAACACTAATTTATTCTATTGAGGTGGAATTTTATTTAATCTTACCATTCTTATTGTATATTAAAAGTGGATCGAAACTGGGTTTACTCTAAACCCATTTAATACCAAGCATGAGATTTAATTTTTTTCTTCCATACCTAGCATGAGATTAGACTTTTATGTTTTTAGACCCATTTCGACCAATTTATAAGAAATCTTTTTTATCCGTATACGACTCAGCCCAACATATTTGAGTTAAAGAGTGCATGATTGACCCATTTTGCCACTGCCATGCCCAATTCTTTACCTCGACCCATAGCAAATCAAAATCTAGGCAACATTGTCACACACACACATATAATATATTTCATCTATCCATTTGCTAAGTGCTGATGCAATTTATTGACTTTTATAGAGCAACCCAGAAAGGAAAGAGAAAAAAAATAAAAAAGAAGAAGAAGATTCGGGCACTAACCTCAGGTGGGGAGAGTTGATAGAGCTTGGAAGAGAGTAAATCATATCCAAGTGACATGGAAGTGGGAGGTCGTGCAGCGGGTGCCGAGTCCCTGCGATATTCCATTCTGCGAGCATGCTATATGGATTTGCAGGGTAATACGAATCAAGAGAACAAAACAAGGAGAATACATATCAGCCATTGAAGACTCAATATGTTCATTGTCATCTTTTAAGGAGATCAACCACGACAACATTCTAAATTTAGAGGATCTCGACTCTAGATTTAATTTGTGCGATTGTATAACTCTTGACGTCAAATGGACATGCAGCCGAAATCAGAACATCAAATGTATGTATTTTTTTCTTTTGTCTTAGCACTATGTGCCGATTTTCTAGCAATGGGGGTAAAATTTAAAGGCTGAGGAGGTCTTAGGCATCTGACTTCTGTAAAAACTTCGACAAAGGATGTTTTCGATGTAATAAGATGGGATGTCCAATTTTCCAGTGAGTGGCCAGCCTCTACCTAATTTTGGTGTACTTTCTTTTTTGCCAAACCACGTCAGATTGCCTAGTGATTGCAAACGTGATCTTGTCTACGCACGAAAGGGCAAGAAACACATCAAACTTACTGTTTCATACATAGAAATTTCATTAATTAGTCTATGTCCTTGGTCTCTCCCACAGAACTATATACTTGCCCTTTAATGATGGTGCTCGTTTTTCTAAGTCTCTAAAACCCATTTCTCTTGCACTTTAAGTTTGTGATCCCCTGGTCTTCATCTCGAGACATCGAGTACATATACGCAAAGACTTCTTTACAAATCGATAAATGGATAATGACGGATTCATACATATTTAAATTTAAGTAGGTGGGTCCTATTCAAGCAATCAACAAGAACCTATTTACGTCATTTTATTTATATTGCATTCAACCAATCAAATTGTTTGATCTAATAAGCATTGATCTTCGCACAATGATGGTGACTTCTCAGTGAAAGGCATGAGTTTTGGATAACTCGCAACACTAAGAGCAAGTATCAATGGGCACAAAGAGCTTGTGCTCGCAACAGATCATCTACAACGCTAATAACGAAAAGGCTAATTTGGATGAAACCCTTAGAAGTTGTATTCAGTATCACCATCTTTACCTTTATTAGTAGCTGTTCTTTTCCTCTATTCTGGTCAAAATATAAGCGGTGATTCATCCTCGTGCATCCATGATGATGATGATGTCTCTTTGACAAATTATTTCACGCAACCAAAAAGAATTTGGACCACATATCCGTTGGTCCACATCAAATTTTCACGTGCATTCCAGTGGACTCAATGTTTCAAATTACTCTATAAATTTCGTATTTCTGGAAGACAATTCCTTCTCAACTAGTTTTCCAACCTGTACGCACATATTGTGAGGGGTTTAATTCGCATTTCGAGAAGTGGAGAGTTCCTACACATTCCCTAACATGGAGATGTTAGATCAAGTTAACGCTTAAAGCAATATCATCGGCACTTGTGTTCATTTTCCACGGCCTTCTTTTCTATTGTAGGACATTGTCAAGAACCTTTCCACAACCGCCAATTAGCTCTAAAGCAAGTCTGTATTCGCGTTTGTCTCATTGTGTAGCACACAAAAGAAATACTTGCTCCCGGGGGGGTGGTGGTGGGGGCGTGGCGGGGGGGAGAGCAAGAGAGAGAGAGAGAGAGTATGACAACATACCTCTCGAATGATGGAGTGATAACCGAGCTCAGGACCAGGCATGAAAGCAGCAGCAAAAACAGCAACATCTACTTTCTCAGGAAATCTCTCCATGGCCATTGACAGGACAAGCCCTCCCATGCTATGCCCTACCAAAATCACCTTCTCTTCTGGAGGAAGACCCTCCAAGAATCCGAAGAGAGGCTGGGCATATTCCACGATCGAATTCAACTCTTGAGCTTGCTTTGGATGGACCCCCGAAGCAGCCATGTCCAAGGCAGTGACCTTGTGGCCTGAGGACTTGAGGAGAGTGGCCACTCTATACCAGCACCAAGCTCCATGACCAGCCCCATGGACAAGCACAAAGTGTTTCTCTCTCTGAGTTTCCTTGTTGGCCATGTCTAGTAGTGAGTCTTTGCTTTCACTGTTGGAGTTTCCACATATAGGGTTATGTTTTGTCTAGGTAATGTTGATCTTGTCTCAAAAATTAAAAAAATAACAATGAGGGATTTGGATCTAACTCATAGGATGCTTCCCTAGTGTTGTGACCTTCTCAGAGGCGAACCGCCAAAGGGAAAACTAATGGATTACAAAGCTCAAAAACCAGGCTCGAACTCCCAAGCCCATGACAACCCAACTTTCGAGTTTTAATTTAATCAATTTGAACAGGGAAAATTACCAAAAAAGTCATAAACCTTTTGCAATTGTGCCAATTCAGTCCTAAACCTTTTTTTTTTTTGCCAATTCAGTCCTAAACCTTTTGCAATTATACCAATTCAGTCCATCCGGCCACATTTGGCCGGCCGGCGCTGACGTGGACGCCGGCCGGCTGACGAGGCAATTTTTAATAATTTTTTTATTATTTTTCGAATTTTTTATTTTTTCTCTTTCTTTTTTTTTTTCACCTATCTTCTTCCCTGGTCGCCAGTCCGGCAACCGGCGAGAGACTGAGGCCTGCGAGGTTGACCTCGCCCTGGCCATGGGCGAGGCTGGCCCTCGCCGGCACTGGCGAGGTCGACCTCGCCATGGCCAGGGCGAGGTCGAGCTCGCCGTCGCTGGGCGAGCTCGACCTCATCCGGCCATGGCAAGGCCTCGCCCGGCGACGGCAAGGCCACCCAAATCTGGCGAGACCTTGCCGTCGTCTGGCAAGCTTGACCTCGCCCGGCCATGGCGAGGCTCGACCTTGCCCGGCGACGGCGAGGTCGACCTCGCCGAGATCCGGGCGAGGCCTCGCCGGCGACGGCGAGGCCGCCCAAATCCGGCGAGACCTCGCCATCGCCATGGCCCGGCGAGCTCGACCTCGCCCGGCCATGGCGACGGCGAGGTCTCGCCGATTTGGGCGACCTTGCCGTTGCCGGCGAGGCCTCGCCCGGCAACGGCAATGTCGCCCAGATCCGGCGAGACCTCGCCGTCGCTGGGCCAGCCTCGCCGTCGTCGGGCGAGGTCGACCTCACCTAGCGACGGCGAGGCCTCGCTAGATCTGGGCAGCCTCGCCGTCGCCTGGCGAGGTCGAGCTCGCCGTCGCTGGGTGAGGTCGACCTCGCCCTGGCCATGGCAAGGTCGACCTCGCCCATGGCCAGCGAAGTGGACCTCGCCGGCCTCAACCTCTCGCCGGTCGCAAGTCGTCGGACCGGCGACCGGGGAAGAAGATAGGCAAAAAAAAAAGAGAAAATAAATAAAAATTCAAAAAATAATAAAAAAAATTATTAAAAATTGCCACGTCAGTCGGCCGGCCGAAAGTGGCCGGATGGGCTGAATTGGCACAATTGCAAAAGGTTTAGGACTGAATTGGCCAAAAAAAAAAGGTTTATGACTGAATTGGTACAATTACAAAAGGTTTAGGACTTTTTTTGTAATTTTCCCATTTGAACATGCAATTCAATTTACGTAGGAGTCGCCACTAATCTATTGTGGGTCCATTAGAAGCCCAAGTAAAGTGTGAAAGAATATTGTACTTCTACGAACCAGATATATTATGGATACGAGAACTTGATTATAATAGATTAATTGACGCCCTTTCGATACCTTTTCTCTTATTTCGAAAACATTTTGTAGGCAGTCTTGGTTAATTTTAATGTTAAACCACTAACAGTGATAGGTATTCATGCGGGTGCGCAATAAAAAATGTAACGCTTAATAACCAAGTAATAAATAAATAGAATGTGAAGAATAGGGCTAACCTCAATGCAATGCAAAGCAAAGCATAACCTTACCATGATTAATTTTCCAAATATCTGCATAGTCTAAATAAAAAAACTCATGCCTTGCCTAAACATAATTTCTAATGCAATAATAATGAATTATTTTTTAGATTTTTCATAAAAATTTGGCTATGGCCGATGCATGAAATACAATCTATTTCTAAATTATGACTGTGATCTAATTTAACATGACATGTAACATGCAATCTAAATGACCTAATTTTAAAGACAAGTAAAGTTAACACGAATTAATCTAACATGACATGTGATTTAAGTTATATAACCCTAAATATGTAATTATTATATGACGTGGACATGGTGACATAGTAATGATGACGTGGCAAGTGATGACATGACAACAATGATGACGTGGCAATGATGACGTGGCAACGTTGACGGGGCAAAAGACGATACATAATGGATGCTACTAATTCTATATGATATATGAATGTTATTTTTGCGGTTTTCTTTTTAAAGTTAAAATAGGAAACTACCTAAAATAGGAGATTAGGAAATAATTTAAATTAAATAATGTTCTAAACTAGGAAATTTCCTAAATCACTACAATGCTCCTAGATATGCAATTCTAAAATAGGAAATAACTCATTAATGCTATTTATCCTAATATGAATGCAATTTTTTTTAGTATTTTCAATATAAGAAAGTCTTCTAAATTAATAACCTGCAATATTAATAATTTTTTTTAGTATTTTCAAATGTTTTTTAGTATTAATAACCTGCAATATTTGAACCCACATACTCAAATATTCAATTCAACCCAAAATAGGAAAAAAATGAATCGATAACCGGATGTCAATTCTTACATATCAAATTTTCAATTATATACACAAGTCAAAATGGAAATTTCCTAATTTGGATAATGCCCAAAATCTCAAGCGAGATAGACTTCAGTGATTGCAAATTAGGCAACGAAGTATTGTAATTGGATTCGGTTTAGAGAGTTACCTAATTCGGAAGATGTGTTTCCAAAACGGACCGGTGGCGAGGAGAATCACGGTGACCGGCGAGACACGAACTAGAACCGACGAAAGGCAAGCTGCAAGCGAAACCGGCAATGGAGTGGTAACGGCGAGGGGCAGCAAGAGGCTCACAGCAACGACGACGGAGGTGAGCTCTGTGAGGAGACGGCGACAGTGCTCGGCTGTGCCGGGCTGGGATGCGCGATGGTAGACTTTCGGGATGCTGGGATTGCTGGAAAAACGTCAATAAGGGACTGAGGTGCCGTCCGAGGCTGTTGATCACAACGGCGGAAAACCTTCAGAAAATATCAAGGACCCTGCAAGTTATTCGGGGAGTTTGCTGGTGGTGATGAACTGTTGAGCGAAACAGCGAGGTGTGGTTGGATGGCGTCGGAATTGGACAGAGTCCTGGTGCACGGCGAAGGTACTGGTCGCGACAAAGCAGCAGTGCCGCAACGTAAGGGTGTTGCAGGACAGCAGCGGCTCGGCGACGTTATTTATATGGCGTCGGACTGAGGAGTTGATCAGACGATCGTCGGAAACACGAGCGACACTAGGGAGAGCAGTTTGTTGCACGTAGGTTGCTGCGGAAAGGAAAAGAGCTCAATCTCTCTTTAAACGGGTAATGTGTTGTGTGTAGCGTGCTCTGCAATCCTTTGGTGTTTTTTAGTATCGTATCTTTTCTCTTTTGCCTTCATAAAAAAGGGTAAATTGCACAAATGATCTACGAATTTTGGCCTAATATACAAAGTGATTCCTAAACTTTAAATTTGTTCATTGTGGTTCATGAATTTTAGCCAAATGTACAATATCATCCCTGAACTTTTAATTTGTATAATGTGGTCCCTGGATTTTTTATCCATTTTCAATTTAGTACCTAGATTATATGAAAATGTTCAATGTTATCCCTAAACTTGAATTAATGGAAGGACAATATTGAACATTTTCATACAATCTAGGAACTAAATTGAACATTTTTAAAAGTCCAGGGACAACATTGAATAAATTAAAAGTTGAGGGACGACATTGCACATTGGGCTAAAGTTCAGGGATCATATTGGATAAATTTAAAGTTCATGGATCACATTACACATTGAGCCAAAGTTCATACATCATTTGTGTCATTATCTCTCTAAAAAAATGAGAGAGAACTTACAAAATATAACTTTTTGATTCCCAAAATTGAACAAAGAATTAAATCTTCCAAAATTTTAGTTATCCACATACTAATTTTGGCCACCATAGGTCTTTACTGGGCTTGGCCAAATTTCGTGGTCTAGCGGGCTTAATCCAAAAATTAAATTAAGCTCAGAATCCCTCCTTACTTAAGTCATTTAACTCCAATGCAATATTATATGGGCTTATTTAAAATGCTCATAATATCTACATACAATTTAACCAATATTTTTGTGAGCCCAAGGTTGATCCCTAATTTTCTATGCAATAATTAACTAAATGGGGTTGTCAAACTTTAGGTGTTGACACCTTGGTAATTTGATAAATATCAACCGTTGATTAGTGAAAATGAGATTTGGATGAACGATTGAAATTTGTCGAGGTAAAGAGCATTGTATGGGATAGAGGATTTTTTTTATAAAAAATTAATTAATGATTGTCAATCCATATTTCCTGGACACGAATTCATGGCTTCCAAGCTCTTTCAGCTCTCCCCACCTGAGGTCAGTCCACACGCCCCTGATCTTCTTCTCGAATTGAAAGAACGTACAGCATCAATTATCGATGTTTAACAATTATTTCAATGTATGATTAGGTGCCACAAAGTTAAATCCGACGTGTTTTTGAAGTTTCAAGTAGTAGCAACGACACCGAAAGGCGACAGGATGATTCGTACGCGGGTTTGACTCAAAATCACACGGTTTTACGACTGAATATCTTGGGGATGGTCAATTTCTTCCCTTATGGGAATTGAATGCAACGATTTAGGATCGTTTGATCTCACAAAAGGATTTGAATCTCGAGTTCTTAACTATTCTAACTTTAGTTTGACCCGACGTGGTTATAGAGTTGTCATCTCAGGCAACGAAATAAAACTATCTTATCCTTGTGACTGCAAAACTACAGGATTTGATGTTAGCCACCTACTTGGTGAGACCTTTTCTGCTTTATCCCGATCAGTCCAGAATGAAGGAGCGAATAGACATCACGAAAGTGAAATATGGTTCGGTCCGGCGCGTTATCATTCTTTGCGAAGAGGAGCTTGTGACGAGGGGAGACGCTGAAGTGGATGGTCAAGCACAACCCACCAGATGAAGTGAGGATGATCTCTGGCGCCGACCATATGATTATGTTCTCCAAACCGCGAGAGCTTTGCGCTGCCCTTGAAGAGATTGCCGAACATTACCCTTGAGATTTTGCCTGTTCGAGTTCTCATCGCCGTGGAATAACATGGAGGTGTTAAGGGCATGCTTGTTTCATCAGAAAGAAATGAAGAAATGGGTGAACAACTTAAAGGTATTGGCTCAACGAGCATCTGTGTATCAATGTCATGACTCAGATCATATTCTCCATCATTCAACATTCAATTAAGTCCTCCAAATTAAACTTTGCAGAAGAAGGAGAAGATCCTCTGCAAGTTAGAAATGTATATAACGCATTAATCATGCTGGTGATCGCTAGAGTCGGTCAAGAGTACGTAGCTGGAAGTATAAGTGAGAGATGCACAAGTTTAACATGAGTAGGATAGTATTTGCTAATTGAACTCAACTGCGGAATACAAAGAGAATGGAAATTACAGCAATGCAAAGGGAAAAGCTCCAAATATAGATACAAAAGACTATGTACAAGGATGAAGCGGATATTTATGCAAATGAGCGTCGCTTATATGATGCTTCAGCAGCCTTTGTCCATTGGGAATGTGCACACAAAGTTAACCAATATGGAGATATGAAGCCTTCATAACACAAGATACCACACCTAAGAATGTCAATCAGCTCAGCATAGTAGGATGTCCAGTCTGAAGCATCCTCTTGATAATGTCCATTCCAAATGAAGAATCTGACGAACTGTTAAATGACGGGTAGATGTCAAGAAAGGGTCACGAGTTCAAGATAAATTTAATTCGTAACCAGAAAATAAAACACAATCAACTCGCTAGAGGACATGACACGGGGTTACAACTCAACAAACTCTGGCGTGCTGCCAATTGTGCAGTGCGCCATGGCCACGCTCATACATCAAGCGATGTGTTACAGGAATTCACACCAATCATCATGCTATCACAACTTTCTTCTCGACTATTAAAGAAATTGCAATATCTTCAGATGCATATATGTATATGCTCATTCCTAATTTCTTGTACTTCCTATCTTCTGTACTGCAGATATGGTTATTTAAACAATTTGCTTTTGACCCTGCCTTATGTCGGAAGGAAACAGTGACCACTACATTTACCACAGGCAAAAGAAAATCCTCGCCAGGTCACAGAAAGCAAAAGTTAACACATTATTTCCTTCAAGAGACTTTCATCCACCATCTCCTGTGCACACAAAGAGCAAATGCAGATAGCAGAAACCAAAAAGGAGTCAAAACCATCTAGGACCACTTTACAGAGACAAGCTATCGTTTCTAAACCACTAAAATTCAGATTCAGGCACCTGAAAACTACCGGACCAAACTGAGTAAATGTTTTGAAGACATTTTTTGGGTCGAGGTGTCAGATTAATGATTCTAAAATCTTTCATATACATCTCAGAAATGAGAACAGATGCCAATTCACTGATTCCAACCACATCAAAGGCCATCTATCTGCTCTTATTTGAAGCACTCGAAAGGAATATCTGATGAATGATATATCTGTCGAATGCACTTCACCAAGAAAACTGACTTTTTCTAATATTAAAGAAGTACAAATCTGATAAAGTCGTGCTTATCAATGAACAAGCAAAACTCAAAGATTTGATTGTGATCATTTAGTGTTTACAAAATCGAGGCACCAAAACTGGTTACTTAGTTCCACCTAAGAGCTAACTTTCCAATAGGATTGCAACCAATTGACAGTAAACGATTCAAAGCAAACAAACAAATTCTAAATAAAAAGCCAATAAGAAAGCATATATCACCCAAAATTGTTTTATAAATCGAAAGTTCAGAAACCAGACAGAGATAAACTCGTATATGGTCTGGATAGGTTGAGAAACTAGATCAACTGACCTTGGGATAGTAATTTCATACGGAAATGAGATGACTCCTTCGCGCTTTGGAATTGGAGGTACATGTTCCTTTTTGTCATTCACGAATCTTATTATCTGAAACAGAACATCGCGAAGAGAGGCGTCCAGTGATGCCCTGCGCATGCTTCTCTCCTCTAAGGTATTCTCTGCATTAAAAAATATATATTATTGTAAAACAACGAAATGAGGCAACGATGCATCTCAAATCAGATGTACATAATTGGCCATACCCCCAGTGTCCACAACTTTGGAATTATGCGACTTGAGAGAATGTACTTTCGGTTGTTGGGCCACATTCAAATCGATATACCAATGCTCCCAATCTAGCCGCTCTATTTGCTTGCTGAACCATGATACCTGTTTGTTTTTTACTTCATAGAAGGATAAACATATCTGCATCACATAATCCAACATTAGTTAGGAAAAAGAGGAACCAACACTATAACCCCCACGCACTCCCTAAGGTTTCAAAATGATGCTAATTCTAATCTCATTAAAGAATCATGAGGGGCATGATATATTCAGGGCCTCATGGGAACTGCTTATGTTTGGATATTCTTGGTGTAATCTCATCAATAAGCCAAGGGCTGATGTTCACATGCAGAAAACTTTCAACACTAACCAGATGCATGAGACATGCTTCTGTATAGTTTACATGAGAAATTGAGCACGCGCATACACTCACTTCCAAATTCAAGCTTCACTAATAATTACCATTGAGACAGGAAAACACCAAAACTATCTATGTATCAAGTAACATGTTCACAGCTTGAAGTCCTAACCTGGCTTTTCTTATTTGGATGCTTCTCGACCCAACCAATGAACTGCTCTATCTTCTCATCAATTTTCTTCTCGACTTCTTGATCCCCACATTGCACCTATATCATCAAAACAAGCACAATTCCATCATGTAAAGTCCTAGATATCACAATTTAATAATTAAGGATTGATTAGAGCTAAGTTAGATTAGACCGAACAAGCTGGAAGCTTGGTTTGGTTAAAATTGATGCTTTACTATTTTTGAGGATTTCCATGTACCATAAGATGCAGAAAATGAAACACATGGTTCATACATATATGAAGAGGTTATCGCCATTATTGACCACGAGAATCAAATAATCAATGGAAGTTTGCTTATAGTCGTTTAGACTCATGAAACAGTAGCGTCAACTATCTTCCACAGCATATTGCACTTTGCCGATACATGTCTACGTTACAAGGGGTAAAAGGCTTAATTAAACATGGGCGCAGACCATGGAAATAACTCCAATGAAGGGAACTCAGGGAGGATATTCAGCTAAAATCAGACAAAATGGCGTGTAACGAACCATGCTTAGAACAGAAACTTTACCATTGTTACTTTCATAGAGAAGTAAAGAAAATTGTTAGGTTTATATCTATCAAACTTATACCATGTAGTTGACCTCGAGAAGCAGAACTATCCAGACAAATTTATACCAAAAATCACCTCTGTTTTACAGGCAGATGACGAGAAACGCATCACAGAAATGGTGCATTGTAAGCCTCGAACAAGATTAAAGTTCCCAGACAATTACTAGATGATAGGATCGCGCCAACTCTATGAAGTCACAGCAGAGCAGAGCAACCATACCAATTGCCAACTACTGCTAAGATTAAGATAGCAGACTAATTTCAACAGGATGGAAAATAGAATGAGTAGCTCACCCACTTACATATGTAATTTCAAAAAGTTCCAAGTCGATTTCTTTGGGCCGCACAAGGCCTAAAGCTCGGTGGAAGATAATAGTGTGTAGCAAACCTGCAAAACATCACCCAATTTGATCATTCAACTAAGAGCAGAGAAAAGGAAAAGTACAACAGAGAATCGGTATATACTCTGGCAACAGAAAACATGAAATTAATGGAAAACCACTTCGACAGGAATCACAACCAAATGGGTGAAGAATGATGTCAGGGCAAAAGCGAATTCTCCTAATGAAAACACAGAGAAACCTCAGCAGATACAAAAAAAAAAAACAAAAAAAAACCAAGTCTCACGAAGCTGTTCTCTCTCATGTCTGTCCCAAAAATAGTTCCTACCCCGACAACCATCATTCGAACTCAGAATCAAATTGCTAGAAGAATCCCTTCACATGATGCAAAACTTACATCGGAGCACATCCCGGATCTCGTAGTGCTCCACCTCCTGCGAAAAACAACAAAGAAAACCCGCGGGTTCGCATCAAAAAGCAAGAAGCCAAGCTACACTGACCAGCACGAATCGACCCAACTGAACACGAGGTCAGGGGGTTCAATTCTCGTACTTCGCAACCGGGTAAAAGCGAAATCGCCGCGTGTTATGCGTACCAGTTCTTTGAGATGGCAGACTTCGCAGTTCATGATTGGCCGGCGAGACAAACGAAGGAAATTTGCAAAGACCCAGAAGAAAAAAAATGCGAACTTTTTGCTGCTGATCGGTCGATCGGAGAAGAAGAAGTTAAGGGGACGGAACCCTCGATCGCAGGGAGAGAGGCGAGTGGATTTTTCCGGCGAGATGAGAGGGGGTGATCGAGAGAGCGTCGTTGATCTTGCCTTGAAAAGCTCTCTCTTTTCTCTGGACTTCTGCTGTTTGGCTTTGGAAGAAAGCTTTTTCCAAATTTTTTTTTTGCTTATTTTTTTCTTTTAATTCTTCTTATTAAAAAAACATAGAGGAAATGAGAAATTCTTTTGTTATAAATAATAAAAAATAAATACATTTTGAAATTAGATTAAAACTATGAAGAAGACTTTCTCTTTCCCTTTTGGACAAATGACGTGTTTTTGTAAAAGAATTGAATTTATTGAAACTCAAATGAGTACTAGTTTCTTGTTGGAAACTTGACTCAGACAGAAAATCAACTGTCGAGTTGAGTGTATGGTATGCTTGAGCTTGACTCTAACAAATACTTCGGTAGCTCGAGCTCAAATCCCACTCGAATTAGGTGCATCAATCTCAAGCTATGATCAATCCACACCAAACCTACTCACAACCAGCTTGACTTAGTCTCACCCCTATCAATCAATATCAACCTAATTCAAGTTTGGTAATGGTAAAATAACGTAATTACACAATTTTGCAAGTAAGATTGGGAACCCCGTTACACATAGCATAAGTCAAAAAGACACAAATGGAACTAATCCTAGAAAGAAAGATAATAAGCTTTACAACCTATAACCTTTCATCCCTTGTTACCGTTTTCCCGCAGCAACAATAACTATGAAAAAAGAGGTGCTATAATTTTTATAAAGCGTTTCGACACCCTGCTCATGGCTGCAGCATCTCGCAGTTGCAAACTTACAGTAGCTTTTAGAATGTCTATCTTACATAACTCCGAGCTGCTGTAGATTAAAAGCATAAATTACCAAACAACGCGGCATTGCTGTAGTTAAGCACAGCTACATCACAACCACAGCTATACCAAACAGATATCGGGTATATCCTTTTGTTCAGCAGCAAACCTTTCGAGTGTTGCTGCTGATCAAATTGTTTTAGGGAAGGCCCAAAACGGAAAAGGCCAAACAATCATCAAATTTAATGATTTGGGCCTCGCCCCAGATTGGTCGGCCCAATATCCTTGTCATATGGACTCTTCTTTAAGCGTTGGCCCGAAAACATATGGACGCTCCTGAGTGTCTGTCACACACGGTTGCTGATGCTTCTTTCGGGCCACCATGGTGGCAACTTGGAAGTTATGAGTCGTCTCAATGTGGAGGTTTGAGCAGAAGTACAGTTCATAATCAGTTCCATGATCTGAGGTTTTCTGGAGAGAGGATGGTTGATGGTACTCATTCAACCGATTGACCTCGTTTTGGAAGACAAAACGATTCTTTTGGATTTATACATGCTTTTGAACCACGAAGTCGATTATTTTGTGTGTTGGATTGAGATCGTGTGCCCTCTTACTTGTCTCCCGTTCGGTACCACATCCATACAAACCATCGATCCATGCGAATAAGGATGATTGAGTAATTTATGGTTAACTTAGGAGAAGTTGAGATTTGTTGTTTCACTAGTAGACACCGAAAGGGGAGGAGCATCTTTGTCTCGCTAATATTTCGAACATCATGTCCACTGAAGATACCCTGTCTCTTTCTTATTCCTCTTTCCATTCCATGAAATGGTCATATGCTAGTGTTATATATGGCTTTGTATCAATAACCACTCCCCCTTAACACTATATTCCCTTTTCTGTATCATAACAATAACTACTGACACCATCTATAGTTAGTAGATGCAGCAATAATATGATTGTTCTGGGTTTCTCACAGCATTAAATTGATTGAAAAAAAACCATTATGTCTTATATCAAGAAAGAGACGATATATTGATCATTTTACCTTTTCAAAGAAAGCTGTTCTATAACGAACCTTTTATTTTATCATTCGCCATCAAAGTTATTGTATATATTCCACTTCCTTTCGTTCTTAATAGATTTGAGAAATAAATAGTGGAGAGGTTCTTAGTATTTCCATGAAAATGATTTGTCAATATTCAAAGCATTGCCATGACATAATATAATCAACAGTGTATGATGAGTAGGATTATTGAGCATAGTTTATACCTGTATAAGCCTGTTTGGCCTCACCAGGTCGAAAGCTGCCGTTGAGCAAAGTTTATATTTGTTTGGGATCTTCAAAGTAGATTTGCTGGAGTTTTAATCACATGTAACTGCGAGTTATAATGTACAAATAAACAAAGAAGATGCACTCGCAAAATCCAATCTTGGGTGAGGAGAAATCTCTCTCAATAGTGAAAGAGAATGGGCTGTCAGTTATATGTCAGTGAACTATATTCTCTCTCTCTCTCTCTCTCTCTCTCTCTCTCTCTCAGTCTCTCTCTCTCAAGTTTCTTCACAAACTCCTGTAAATTCCTCAACCCACATGCTATCATCTTTTGTGAAGAGAGACCTGATCTTGTTCTTGTCACTGCTTCACTTTTGTCAGGTTTTTGAACAGCTCCATTGGAATTCCAACAGTTTTGATCAATCTGCACTTTTTTTTTCCATCTATTTGGTCTCCTTTTCTCGAGAAAAGGGTCACTCTCATGGAATGTTTACCACCGAGAACCATCCATTTTTCTACTTTCAATGTACTCTCTCTCTCTCTCTCTCTCTCTCTCTCTCTCTCTGCTCACATGTGTTCCATTGGAGGACGAATACTTACAAGATTGAAAAACCCTTTGGCAATTACCTATAACTTTGAAAGGGATGTTTGTAGATCCCTAGATACAGGTGGAAGAAAGCCTAATGATTTTTGTGTTTAATTTTGTTGCGTTTTTTTCTCCTCCTTTTTGACCGATTGTCTGTTGTCGCCCATCAAATAATGCAAGTTAATATTGTCGCTCATCGATGAACGTCAAGAAATTAATACACACGGTGTACCCTACCCTAGCTTTTCTTGGCCTATTTTCTGTAAAGCTTTTTGACAGCCGAACATCCCATCAGAATTTGAAGCCATAATTTCTAATTTCTACACCCTCTTTCCTCACTTTTCTCATGCATAAGACCCAGCTTATTGATATGAGCAAATTCAAAATACATGTGTTTTCATACTATGGGTATTTGGATTTTGTTTCGAATTGAAAAACACATTAAATATATTTGAGTATGTTTAGGTGCTAATTTCGAAATCGCAAGTACGGCAAAAGTCATCTATTTAGCCTAAGCACAGATAGTCATCCATTTACACGGAGATAAATGAAAAATGTGAACTCGATTTGCATGAATAAAGGTACATAATACATATGAAAGTGAACAAATGAATCCTCCTGTGGGAGATAAACCAACGGTGACTCCGTGAAAGATCAATAATTGAGAGCGTGACATGATTTAACAGTATATTCTCTGTATTGTAATTTGATGGGGGGAGATGTGACGCCCCCTGTCAATTTGAGTAAACATAGGAGGGTCGACTTTTAAAGTTCTAGCTTTTTTCTATGTCGTTGATATTCAGAATCGTAGAGATGTCCATTGGTTAGTACAAAAGGACTCTGCCCAGCAAACGTTAATCAACCTACGGCACGAGTTCAAACTAGACTTGGAAAAATTGCTCCAAATTAGCGTATCAAAGAAGCCGCTCGCCAAGTTTCTATGATATGTAAACGCGAGTTATTGACAATAGGTCAGAGCAAAAAAGAGGAAGCTCGAGTTGAAAGCTCAAAAAGACCGCAGTTGACGCCGCATAACCAAACCTGGGTCAATCTGTTCGTCTGCATACATGATGGATCCACCATCTTCTTCTTTACTAAATGTCTGCATAAGCCATTCTTATTGCTCCCTAGCTGGAAAGCTATAATGAAAGATGGGTATGAGAAACCACTCTCGACGTGGCTTTTCTGAACTTCTGTCTGCTTCTTCTCTTGTCTCTTGGATTCCTTCTGCCAAGCTATATCGATTAAGCTTCATTAACTAGCTCGAAACACATTCGATTCCATCGTATAAAAAAGCATATATGTTTCAAACCTGGAACTGTTCCCATAGTGAATCCTCAGCCACCCCAACATTCCCATTTTCCCACCAAAAACGAAAGAGGACGAATGTTGAGAAACCCTAGGAAAAGCTAAGATTGCCGCTAAAGCGGGAGACACGGCGGGGGGCCCCCCCGTTAGAATGTGGGTGCGCATCACATCCATGCATCGTTGTCACCCTCATCACCTCCCCCTAATTAAGCACATCTGGCTGCACTTCCATCAACTGATTAGTCGTCAAGACCTTCGTGCCGCACTGCTTGCATAATATGAATATAAATATAATGACTGTATTCTCGCTACGTGAAAATTTCTAATGCTATTCGTAGTGGGTTGGACTTGTTTATTCAAAGGTTAGGTTTGATGGAGAGATTCGGCGGGAAAGCGAATCTCACTGGGACTCCCAAGGGCGAAAGCAACCGATAGCGACCGAGCATGGAAAGAGGATGATAATGCAAAGAGAAAACTTAGAACGGAGGAGATGAAATGAAAGAGGGAGAACTTACTTCAAAGGGCCGAGAATAAGAAATTTGATGTGTAAATTCTTAGTATGGATTATTCTCTTGAAAGTTGAGACAACATTAGGGAGCCTTAGTAAAGATCCAAACCACTCTTGTATCCCTAACACGGCTTGTATTGCACGTCTCGTGTGCAAAAGTTTTAATTTGACGCAATTGCTAATCTTGTTCACACTTGTTTATACACTCCGAATATTATCATATGCTTTTTGCGCATTCCTCGTCTAAAGTTTCGTCAAACGAATAATGTGAATGCACGCAACGCATGTAGAGTTCATACATCATCTGAGAAGTCGACAGGCATCAAGAATATACAGTGACTTTGATAGCTGATAGAGACTTGAGAGCTCGCCTTCCCTACTTGTGCAAAGGACCACTGTCAAGCTGCCGTGAAATTAATCAGTCCAGAGCACCGAACCGGTCGTGATCGATGACAACAACAGGTCCGACATGAATCAACATTCACAATACGTGACCGTCACAATAACGATCAATCTTCATAACCCTTCCGCAGAAGCATTCTCATCGCATCTTGTGCGCCTCACGAACCTAATCCGAAGATGGCCCACGGCGCCCCGCTCGAATCGAAACGAGCTCTGATCAGTCCCGTGCCCCCCCACATTTTCTTTTCA